ATGAGTGTAGAACACTCATCAATCTTGATTCTTGATATAGCGTTCATTGTTTATGATGTTTAATTGATTTTTTATTGAATTATCAAGATTGACTCCTGCCAATATAAGACTGCCAGGTACTTAAATAACCGAACAAATAGTGAGAGTTTTGAGCCCGATCTATGAAGAAGAAATTGTTAAACACCAATCTATGAAGTTCGAGGCCAACCCGGGGGCTTGACCAAATTCTGAGGAAGGTGCACAAAGGAGTCCTTCGAGAAATGACTGGAAAATTTCTTCCCCGACCATGGAACGTGGACAACCTCAAGATCAAACCCTCCGTACTTGTGTCTTTAATTTTTCTTTTTATTATGGTAGGGCTTGCACCCCTATGCTTTCCTTTTCCTTTTTGTTTTTAGCAATCAAGTAATAAAGCATTTCACCTCTTGACCCCTTGTCAATGAAACTTTTAAAGAGGCACTAAGGGCCTACTTCCCGTCTACAGTCTCTATAGCCACAGCCTCGCTAGTCTCCTCAACTTGGTCCTCCATATCCCCGTCGTCCTCGCTCTCCTCGGAAGCATCTAGAGTGGCATACTTAGTGATGTCAAGGTCTTCAATACTGATGCTACCAAAAGTATGTACCTATTAATTCTCAAACTTGACGATTAATGAGCACGAACATAATCTCCAATACCTGATACAAAGGCGTTGATGTGTATCCTCGTCACCCCCTTGATGTTTAATTTAGTGAGAAGGAAGCTATACGTGTGAGGCTATAAATTGAAAGTGATGTAATTTTGTAAAGCATACGTGAATAATGAACGAGAACCTATATTTATAGAGATATGCAGTGCAATCTTGATAGGATTGTGTTGGTTGAATGCTTTGTCCGTTTAAGAGTCGTAAAAGACTTGAGAGTCCTATTCTTAAACATCATGAGTACTATTGTGATTGGATAAGAATGGAATTCTGGATGTAGAGTCCTCCTATAATAAGTAATTCCATAAGGAAGAGCAAAATGGGTCAACCCTCGAGTTCCTCAAACCCGAGCCTTAACCCCAAGTGTTAATGATGTGATTCATGATACGATGGCAAGTCCAGGCAAAAATTCATTGATCGTTAAGGGATGACCGATGACTAGGTCGCGAGCGAAGCGAGTCAAGGAAGCTATGCAATTGCTTGCTCAAGCTGCAGTTGACGAAACGTTGATCTCAAAAAGCAAATGAACAAGTTTCATGTTGGCTTGGAAGAAGAAATCATATGGATCAAATTGGTACAAGTAGCAGACGAGAAAGCCGGACAAAGTAACTATGCGACCTAGGCTATGCGGCTGCATGCCCCTTTACAGAGACTGTAGAGGAGGGCAACAAGTGATCTATGCGACCACATAGATTTAGACTATGCGGCCACTTTTGGACGCAATTTTTTCAATTTTTACATAATCTTCTATTTTATTTAAAACTTTTGTATGGTATATTTTTGATATCTTTAAGACTTAAATTCCGTTTTTAGCTAGATTTTATGATTTCCTTATGAATATGACTCATTCTGTTCATTGTAAAACACACAATTATTGAGAGATTATTACGAAGCAAATTTGCTTTCTTCTCATTCTTCATTAAATTAATTTCGAACTCATCAAGAATTAAATTCTTGTGACATTCTACAAATTCAAGTAAGGTTTATAAATTTTGTGGTCATGGGTCAAGATATTGTTAGCGATTGTCTTGGTTCTTGATTCAATAATTTATTGGGTCGCGCTTTTCAAACGTTGATCTTGACTTTCTTGGGATGTTCTAATTTGTCGACGGTTCTGTAGCTATAATTGCTACTTGGGTTCGCATCAGTTAACCCCAATGATACAACACTCAAGGGCGTTTGGGGTGATGTTTGATGCTTGGATTCTATACTTCTCGGGTTTGACTGTGATGTTAACCTCGGGGTTTTACCAAAATTATACATGATGTTACCAAAAATGGCACCTGGTGAATTTCGAGCTTGACGACTAAGAATGAGCACTAATGTGATCTTCTGGTACCTGAACCAAAGGTGTCGATGTGTGTCATCGTCGCCCCTCTGATGCCTAAGTTAGAGAGAGAAATTGTGCGAAAAGTTTGAGTGCTGAAAATATATGAAAACGTACTTGAATAATGATCCAATGTTTCATATTGATAGATGAAGGTAGTGCGTTCCCAGTAGGACTTGGCATAATTATTTTTAGGAATTCTTGTTGGGATAAGTGTTGGATCACAATCAGGAGTCTAACCCTGTAGTATTTTCAAATTTAAACTCCTTCTGGACCTAGGATTCTGGAATTTAAGTAATGGGATATGGTTAGAGTTCTTAAGAAGTGGGAACTATCTGTGCTTGAGCATGAATGAATTTGGGAATTTGACGAAGGGAGAAACCCGAGGACGACCAACGTAAGTGTTACAGGCACTCACCGGGTGCCTTTGAGGTATCCTGAGGATTGACCATGCTCGAGCACACGGATCTTATAATAACAAAAAATGAGCACTGACAGTCCTCGTGCTCGAGGTGCCACTTGTGACCACATCAATACACATCAAGCAGCATTAGGGAAGTTGATGAAGAATAGATTTCTAGGTTTGGGACTTAACCCTTAAGCCAGGAACGAGCTTGTTTCAGCCCACAATAATACGACGCGTAGCGTATTCACCCCTCAACTTTTTGATCACCTCAATCCCTCTTCAAGGAGTCCCTAAAAATACCTCTCCGTGCAAACAGTAGTGCAGTCTATAGTCTGTCTCATGGGCTCTAATCTCGCATCTCTCAATTAGGACAAACTTTCTCCCCACGACCATTACTGTTGTGTTCTTTATACGAACAGGATTGATCAGGTACTTCTAAGTGCTGGCCTAACAACAATATCCTCTGGACTCTGGAATGTGTCAGTCAACCTCAACCTCACCGTGCTCGTCCTGGGTCCTGTCTTCCTCTCCCTTATCTTGGCCTGTTGCCTCGGGGTGCTCGAGCTCTCTACTTCTCAGGAATAGGTGAAAGTAAAAATGAAGAGAGGTACATGGAAAACATCTATTTTAATGACGCCTTAACTACTCTTATGTACATGGAAAACACCATTTTGTTTGTGCATAGAGAATATACAAACCATTAAATTTTAGACAATAAAAATAAAAAAGATTTTCGAAAAAAATAACAATCTACATCGTCAACAATGAATTTTGACGTCCCATTCTATAGCACTCTCGTGTTCGAAATATACTAGTTCATCAATAAAAACAGGAGAAGCAAATTACACGTACATATTGAAGCAAAATATTCATGGCTTCCACTGAACTCCCACAAGTACATATAATAATAGAAATTTGATCAACTTTTTAACTGATTTCAGCCTTCACCATTTCTGAGAAAACCTTGCTCATTGAAACATTCTCAAGGTCGCCTAAACTTCCCATGCTGTATTGTGCAATGGACACACTCTGCTCCACTTCACTCCTTTCCTTTAGTCTCTGATGATTTCCTAGAATCTGAAGGGCATTTTCCAAATTCCACAATACGTCTCCCATTGTTGGTCTGTCAGCAACCTGTTCGGCCAAGCATTTTTCAGCCGTCTCCCCAAATTTTTGCATCGACTCCTGTTCAATTTCATCGACAAGATGACGATCTAAAATTTTGTCCAACCTTCCTTGGCTTAGCCATTTCATTGCCCATTCAATTAAATTTACCGCTTCCCTTGGAAGTGATGGATCAATAACCGGCCTCCCACATATGACTTCGAGCATAACTACACCGAAAGAGTAGACATCAGATTTCTCAGTGAGTTTTCGTGTTGCCAAATATTCAGGATCGAGATAACCAAAACTTCCTTTTACTGCTGTACTAACGTGTGTTTGGTCTATCTCCGGACCAGTTTTTGAAATTCCGAAATCACCAACTTTGGCCATCATATTCTCATCAAGAAGTATATTTGCAGACTTCACATCGCGATGAATGATCGCCTTAGCAGAACCTGTATGCAAATAGTGAATCCCTCTTGCTGATCCAATGCAGATTTCAAGCCTCTGTTTCCAATTCAATTTTGGAAGATTTGATCCATAAAGATGATCCCTAAGGGTACCATTCTCCATGTACTCATAGATTATGATCATTTCATCCTTCTCGTCACAGTATCCTATTAAAGAAACTAAATGGCGATGACGAAACTGAGATAACATTTCGATTTCATTCCGAAAATCTTTACGGACATGCTGAGATTGACAAATTCCTCTCTTCACTGCAAACGTCGTGTTATCCTTCAAAACTCCCTTGTAGACTTTCCCAAAACCACCAATACCAATAAGCAGATTTTCACTAAAATTGTCTGTTGCTTCTTGAACGGCCACTAGAGGGAACCTGTAACCTATTTGGGGATATTTACTATCCTCGAAACTTTCTTGATTCATTATGATAGAATGGTCCTCCCCTGAGTGAACCACGTTGTCCCTTCTTCTTCTTCTTCGTCTGATCATCACAACAAAAAGAAATGCCAAAACAATGAAAATCAACGATGATCCAATTGCCAACCCCACAATCAACCACACTTTAGTCTTGGATGCCGGTTTAGTAATCTGGGTTTCAGCATCTGCAGGATCAAGACTGCCCTTAGAATTGCTTATCTTCATGATCTCGACTCCATTAAGAATTCCATCAGGATAAGCATTTTTCACATATGAAGGACCAATACTTATGCTAAGATTGTGTATATCATTTATTCTAGTGATGGCATCCACATAATATGGAGCTCCGGAAACATTTGATGTCTTATTGCTAAGATCTAGATCTCTAACAGCCACCCCAGAATTGAGAAAAACATTGAAGATAAGAGGACCAGGACTACGCTCTGCTATATCACAAAAATGAAACCGGACAACATAATCAAAACCAGGATCAACATCAAATGACCAAGTCATATTAATTATAGTGTCCGGATCAGGCTGCGAATGCAGCTTAGTGGCAGTACCATAGACAGAACGAGGAGCAATAAGTTCACTATATCCGCTCGTCTCATTTACAGCCTGAACATTTGACACGAACACAACAAGATTACTATTGCTCAAATGCTCACTATCAGACTGCCAATAACGCGATAATTTATCATTCCGAGGGAACACAGTCTCATTACCCATATTCACTCTCCAAACTGTTTCCAGTGCTTGTGCCTGCACACTGGGGGAAGGCTGTTGAGAATTTACAGCAGGAGTGTGGTCCGGGATAACCACACCGGGAAGTGAAACGATTTCCAAAGCATTCAAAAATGCAAACGAACCAGGAGAAGGAGTAAAGGTAAGGACTAGATTATCTGTAGTTACATTGACAGAGTATTCCTTGACAACTGGACCATGTGGTGGTTGAAAGTTCTTTAAGAGTGTAAATTTTTGAGCAGAAACAGAAAATTTAGCACTGGAAAGATCTCTTTCACTGACAAAAGAAAAAAAGTGCAAACGAATCAAGTGCCAATCCCTTTTCTTCATTGGAAAGGTATAATTTGAGGAACCATTCAAAATTCTGGCAGTTTTGTACAGAGATGAATTATAAATGGATGGAGGCGAATCTGAAGTATTGACAAAAATGATTTCTGGGGTTGACAGAATGCTAGAATTCAAGTTATCAGCCAAGAAAAGACGATTATCTACTTGTGTATTTTCTGTCGACCCGCAGTCTATTAGGTAGTTATCTGGAGGATCAAATTCTTGACAAGTGCATTTCAGAATGAAAATGAACAATAGAAATGTATGGATTTTCATACTGACATTAAACTCGAAAACAGTTAAATCTAAAATAAGATATTAAGTGAAAGAAAGGATAAAGAATAACAGTAGCACCTTTTAGATATCAGGTTTAGTCCAAGGCACCCAAAGAACATATAAATTTGAACAGATTAAGGATGTACTTGAGATGAACCCATTTATGAAGTTGGAATATATATGGCTATGGCCCACGGAAGAAGGGACGTTTAAAAGCTTATTCCTTTTAGACGAAGTGGAACTAACTCGGGAGTGTTCCTCTTTCTTGTTTCATTTGTACAATTCATTGTACAAACTCACGTGTTCTATGTGGGACTACAGGACAGACATTTTCATAGGTACACCATGATTGAAGACCACATAAAATTATAAAAAGACACAAAAATATTGGTAGGATAATAGACGAGGATAGATGAAGTTTCCTAGATATTGCAAAGTCTATAAAAAGAACAAATTCAAGTAGAAAATCATTAAAAAATAGCCAATCAAACACGAGATAGAAAGAAAAAGAAAGACATTGCACTGTCATTGTCTGAAACTATACTAAAACGCGTTTTCTTCAACCACCACGTTAATCGAGCAAAAAAGTAGATAAGTTGAAGTCAAAGACAGTTGTTAATAATTTATTCTATTCTTATATGGCCAACAATATAACATAACCTTTGGCTTTGTGTGGAAGCGATCTTTTGAATAGAGTTGATTTTATTGGAGAATATGCAATTAAAAAGTAAAAGAAATTATGAAAAACAATTTTTTTAAAAATATAGTGTTAAAAATAAGTGTGGAGAAAATTGATTTTCTAATACTCACTTTCAAACAAGGACTTTATACGATGGAAAACGAGACTTTTTCTGGTCGTGATGGCCTAAAATGTTTGGTCATAATAAAAGTTAGTCAACTTATTTTTTTTCAAATATTGGTTTTTCTAAGATGTAGCAAGTAGTTTATTAGAAAATCATTATTTCCTAATAACTATTTTTTCTTTATTTTGAACCAATAAAAAATTGAAAAAAAAAAGGTCTAGGTACGAAGCGAGACGTTTTGCCCGAGCTTTGAGCCTAGGCAAGCTTTTTAGAACACTGGTTGTANCCCCCCCCCCCCCCCTCTCATTTTGAAGACATTTTTTTAGATAAATGCAATGTTTTTAGTTTAAAGAAAACCTTTTTTTTCCCTATCTCTATTTGTACGAAGTTATTAATCTTTATAGTATTAGTGCCATAAATTTATTATGACCAATTGTCAAACTTCCACAATTCTTCTTCATATTTTTATGTCCCTTTCAGATATTTACAAATTTCCAATACAATGTTCAAATAAATTAATGAACTATAATCCAATTCTTAAAAAAATTATATATATTCCCCGATTGGAAACAATTTGATTTTATATAAATACAATCACACTTTTGTAAAACTACTAAATGAGCAAAAGAGTGGTAAATTTAACTTTTAGCAAAAATACTGTTTAAATATAATCACAGGAAAATCAAACACCATCATATTAATATGAGTAATGTTATTTATCATCACTAGTGCTAAACATCAGCCTATGTGACAACTGCATGTCATTAAGCCCCTGTTTGAGCCACATTATTTTTTCCATTATTATTATTATACTAACTTTCAACCACACATTCTTTAATAAAATAATATTTTTCATCACATCAATAACTTTTTCTTATTTTCCAACCACATATTCTCTATCAATTTACTATTCCAAAATACATTCTTCCAAAATAATATGACTCAAACACACCCTAAATGATAGATTCACTTATATGCAATTTCACATGATTCATTCATTTGAATATATTAAGTGTGACCATATAGATTGATTAGGGCTGTTCGTGGGTCGGTTCGGTTCGGTTCTGAAGAGATCCGAACCGACTCAAAACTTTCGGGTATTTAATAAATGGACCCGTCGGGTCCAAATATAATTATGGAACCGTTCGGGTTCGGTTCCGTTCGGTTCGGTTCGGGTCGGTTCGGTTCCGTTCGGTTTCATACCATAATTAAATTTTTTAATATTTACAACAACACTATATAAATACAACTAATGACATTTCACTCGTAACTTTTACAAATTAACATAACCCAATTAAAAACATATAAATAATTAGACGTCCAATAAGATTAATTCAATGCATACAAATACTAAAAAGTAGATATTAATATTACCGCAACACTACATAAAATATATTTATTTGCTTCAAATTAAAATGTGCTAATGGGTTTTAAAAATGATTTGGATTTTAAATTAAAATTATGAAATAATCTGATTTATTTAATTAATTTGCTAATTTGTTTAGAAAAAATAAAAATAAGTTGTTTTAAAAAAAATAAAATAATTTAATTAATTCAATATAAAAAATAAAAAAATTATTTAGTTTCGGTTCTTATTCGATTCTTCGGTTCTTGGTCTAGACCCGAGACCCAACCCAAACCCATCGGTTCTCGATTCGGGTACCCGTTCGGGTATTTAATTTATGAAGAACCACTCGGTTCGGTTCGGTTCGAGACTTTTGGACACCCTTAAGATTGATGCTCAAACACCATTGCTGTTAGATAACATTATTGTATTAACATATTTAAAGCGAAAGATCTTAAGAAAGTAAGGATAAAAAATCAAAACCAACAAGAAAAGAGATGAAACTAAAAATGTAAATTTGTTTTTGTCAGGTAAAGAGGTGTATACTTAAGACAAAGAATGAGTGTCATTATAATAGTAAAATATTTCTAATACGTGATAGTTTAATTTACTAAAAACAAACATGGGAAACTATTTTTATTCGAAAGGAACGGATTATTATTTATTATAGAGTGTTGTGTTTCATATAATTATTAGAGTTTTTTAGTAAAAAAATTATTTAGAATATCTTCAAGAAACTCTTTAAATATAAAATATTTTTTAGTTTAGAGATGCAATGTTTGAAAAGAACTTTCTAGTTTAACTTATTAATAACATCTTTAGGAGACTCCATACTTATAAAGGGTATCTTCTGCATAATAGAGAGTATTTTTAGATTTAAAGAGTAAAATTGTATATACACTCCGGGGATTTTCTTTATTTGAGTCTTCATTTTATTTTTTCAACAAAAAATTATAGATTCTCATCGTCTTTTATTTGAATAATTTTTTATATGTCAATTGTCAATCAATTCAAATATGATTTGAATAATTTTAAAAACGGAGTATAGATTTATATAACTTGTTAAAAATGCATTTATCATAAAGTGAGGACATTTCTAAGGCACTTTTTAGTTTTTAAAAGTGAAATGTTCTTATTTTTAAAGAGTTAAATCTTAAAATTATACTAAAAAATCCTTTATTTTAAATTTTTTAAAGATAAATAGCGAGTTTAACTCTTTATATTTCTAGTGTCATACTCACGCTCTATTTGTATTTTATCAATATTGTATTTAGCTCCTGTTTGACAACCATTATTTTGGGAAAACAATATTTTGAATAGTGATTTTTAGGATAATGTGTGGTTAAAAATAGAGAAAAATTTTAAATTTATATGCAAAATATTTTATTTTATGAATGTGATTGAAAATGAGTATGTAAAAAAAATTGAAATAATGATTATCAAACATGGGCTTAACAACATTGCAAGTTTCAATACTTCACTATTTAAATTATTAGTATTATATATAGAATATTTTAGTCGTTGACATATAAAAGTCTATATACTAATTGAAACTGAGTAAAAATAATAATAATAATTGCATGTTGGGAAAAGTAAAATAAAGAGCAAAAATAAAGAGTTAGTTGAAATGTATAAAACAATACACTTTTGAAATAAAAAATGCTCGTTATTGTCGCTAAGATACTCTTAAAAATAAAGAATCTCTTGAAAATATTTTTTAAAAATAAAGTGTTCATTAAAGTATACTATCGATGAAAATTGCAAAGGGTCACCAACCCAGCAGCAGACGTAGACTTCTTGAACACGGAGGCACAATCAAACTTTCAAAAAAAGACAAAAAAATAGATATTTTATTACAACTGTTGTCTACGGTTCGCATATTTTGATAACGTTCTATAATTACATCATTTCCAATCTAGTCAAATACATCTTTCTCAATATATGCAATCAAACTATCATTCAACTATTGATCTCCGATACGATTGCGTAGACGATTTTTGACACAAGTCATCGCAGAAAATGATCTCTCGACTGTAGCAGTAGCCACGGGAAGAACTAATGCTAATGTCACAAGCTTGTAGACTAATTGATACACTTCATGTTTATTCTTTGCAACCAACTTCTGTGCAAGATCACTAATACCCTGTAATCCTTCAAAATCTTCAGATGTGCGCATGTCAAGAATGTATGTATCTAACTGATCATCAAGTTCTGAGATATCTGTTGCGTCAAAATCAAACGGATAATACTGACATAGTCGAATCACTTTGTTTTTGTCAAAAGCATCGAATGAGTTATTTGGAGACAAGCATGCAACACAAAGTAGCAAGTCACTATTTATCTCAGAAAAACGATCATTCAACTCCTGAAGTTGCATATCAATGATAGCATAAAACATTTCAATACGATAATGATGCAAATTTACCACTGTCTCACGCCGTGAACGACCTAGAGTTATGAACATATCATCCATATTATGAATATTGATCTCGTGAGCTTCACAAAACTAACAAACAACCCCAAAGAAAGAATCTCATCCATCATCTCTCATCATTTGGAGCCGTGTTTTACATAATTGTACCAATCTCATGGCATTGACAATATCTTGATCCTTTCGTTGTAATGCTTTTGACAATTCATTTGAAATCCCCAAAATCTTTTTCATAAGATGTAGATTAAATGCAAAATTCAAATTTGTACATCAACTCAAATGAAATACAAGCATCACCTCTTATTCCGGTACTTGTAGTGTTAGTAGCAATCATCTCAACAACGTCAACTATGGTTGAAAACATGACAATCAAATTTGTTAAACAACTGTAATGAGACCCCCAACGTGTATCACCAGGACG